CTGACCTCGTGATCCACCCGTCTCGGCCTCCCAAAGTGCTGGGATTACAGGCTTGAGCCACCGCGCCCGGCCAGTGTTAATTTTTTAAATTTTTCATAGGAACAGGGTTTTGCCATGTTGGCCAGGCTGGTCTAGGACTACTGACCTCAAGTGATCCTCCCACCTCAGCCTCCCAAAGTGCTAAGATTACAGGCATGAGCCACTATGCCTGGCCTCCTGGGGACATCTTGAAGTTTTGCCAACCACGTCCCCCACCCCATCTTCCTTCCTTGGGGACCCGAGGCAGGAAGGGCACACCCCCCAGCACACACATGCACCCACCCACACACACAGTGCTCATGAACACCTGCACGGCCCCCAACTCACCTTCATGGGGTTGTTCAGCTCCTCATCCTCCCGCTCCTTCTGCACCCTCTTCTCCTCCTCCTCCAGGAGCTTCTCAGCCTGGAAATTCCGCGTGGCTCCATGCTCCATGGTGTAGTCTGTGTTTTCAGGGTCTGTCTGGGGGGAAGATAGACAGACATCAGCTCCTACATCCCCAGGCACCGGAACCTTCTAAAGCAGCACCAGCAGTTCAGGGCCCCTTCTCTCTGATTTTTACTGGTTCTACTACCTTTTCTTTTTCTTTTTTTTTTTTTTTTTTTGGAGACGGAGTCTCGCTCTGTCGCCCAGGCTGGAGTGCAGTGGCAGGATCATGGCTCACTGCAACCTCAGCCTCCTGGGTTCAAGTGATCCTCTCACCTTAGCCTCCCGAGTAGCTGGGACTACAGGTATGCATCACCACACCTGGCTAATTTTTAAATTTCTTTTTGGTAGAGACACGGTTTCGCCATGTTGCCCAGGCTGGTCTCGAACTCCTGACCTCAACTGATCTGCTTGCCTTGGCCTCCCAAAGTGCTGCAATTATAGCTGTGAGCCACTGCGCCCAGCCCAAAATGTTTTTTTTAATCAAAGAAAGAAAGTTTATCACAAAAAAGTACTCAAAGAGTACTTAAGCATAGGAAGAGAAAATTTTAAGTTCTCTTCAGCCTTTCCTCAAATCCTCAGGGTAACAATTAAAAGTCAAATTGTGATTTTTATTGGCTGCGTAATATTCCATTGCATGCTAATTTTTTTTTTTTGACACGGAGTTTCACTTTGTTACCCTGGCTGGAATGCAATGGCGCAATCTCGGCTCACTACAGGCTCTGCCTCCCGGGTTCAAGCAATTCTCCTGCTTTGGTCTCCCAAGTACCTGGGATTACAGGCAAGAGCCACCATGCCCGGCTTGTTTTTGTATTTTTAGTAGAGACAGGGTTTCACAATGTTGGCCAGGCTGGTCTCGAACTTCTGACCTCAGGGGCTCTCTTTCCTGCCTTGGCCTCCCAACCTGCTGGGATTACAGGCATGAGCCACTGTGCCCGGCTTTTTTTTTTCAGATGGAGTCTCACTCTGTCACCCAGGCTGGAGTGCAGCGGTGCAATCTTCGCTCACTGTAACCTCTGCCTCCCAGGTTCAAGCGATTCTCCTGCCTCAGTCTCTTGAGTAACTGGGATTATAGTCCGCCACCACGCGCAGTAATTTTTGTATTTTTAGTAGAGACGGCATTTTGCCATGTTGGCTAGGGTGGTCTTGAACTTCTGATCTCAGGCAATCCACCTGCCTTGGCCTCCCAAAGTGCTGGGATTACAGGTGTGAGTCATGCCCAGCCTGCAAGCTAATTTGTTCTTCTCATGCCTTATTATTATCTATCTAGGTCGCTTCTGTCTTTTTGCCTTTATATAGAATGCTGCCATGAACATCTCCCCCAAACTGTTGTCTGTTAATTGGGGATAAACTGAAATGAGACTCCCTGCATGGAGAGGATCGGAGTAAGGAACCCCGGGGCCTGCCCTGATCTGAGGTGTGCTGGGGGAGAGGGACCGGCTTGGCTGGCCGTCTCGTCTACCTTGAAGGTGATCTCTGCCAGGCAGCGTGTGCACTTGATGTAGAAGCGGAAGATGGGCAGGCCCAGGTAGACCTCGTTCTGCACCGTCTCCTTCCGAGCATTGAATTTCTTCCCCTTGTAGATGTATTCTCCGCACGTCTTACACCTGCGGGGCGGGATGTAGGGGAGCGAGCTGTCTTGGGACTCTGGCTCCCACTGGTGGGCTGTCCCTGCGGCATCCTGCAAGATCACTGCTTGCTTGCCTCCAGCGGTGGGGAGCTTCCTCCTTCACGGGGCAGGCTGCCCCACCCTGTGTCCAAATTTCCTCTACCTGAGAACTTCGTGTTCTCATTCATGTCTTTCTGGGGCTCGGTCCAAGGGTCGCCAGCTTGGGAAGCCCCCTGAGTAGGTGAGGCCTGCCTGTCATGCACTCCCAGAAGCAATCTTGGTGCTTATGGGGCACCCCACCCCCCAGGAGGAAAGATGCTGCACAGAAAAATGCCGCCCCACCTCCCTCTTCCCCTCCTACTCGGGGCTCTGCTCCCCAGCCCAGCACGCCCGCCTCCTGTCTGAGCCTGCAAACACCCCCCGCTCAGTCCCAGCTCAAGGCCTTTGCTCCTACGGTCCCATGGCCGATGACGCCCTTCATCCTCAGACCTCAGCGCCACCAGCAATTTGCCTGATGTCGCCCTGACCACCCCAGCTACCTACAGCCCTCCCTCCTCCGCCACTGCCCCAGGGGCTCTCTCTCCTGCCTGACTTCCGGGGCCCGTGCACCTGCCTGACTACCAATGATCTCCACTTCCCAGTAGACTGCGGGCTCCATGAGGCCAGGGACTTTGTTTCTGGCACCCAGCACAGACCCTGGCACACAGCAGGTGCCCAATGAGTGTTGAATGAATAAATGAATGAAGGAGGGGGAGGAGCAGACAGGCCATCAACACATGGGCATGAAACAAATTTCACTGACCCAGATGCCTCTTTCCTCGTCAGGTGTGTGATTTCAGATATGCTACAGCATGAAGAGGTGTGGGGTTTAGAGTTGGTGAAATACAATAATTCTAAAGTGCTACAAAGGGCAAGATGTGGGTACCGTGAGTGGGGACAATGGAGGCCTCCCGGAGGGGGTGAGATTGGAGCCATGACCTATGGCAGGCAAGAGGAGCGCACCACGTGTAAGTAGAAGGAGAAAGCCGGGCGTGGTGGCTCACGCCTGCAATCCCAGCACTTTGGGAGGCCGAGGAGGGCAGATCACCTGAGGTCAGGAGTTTGAGACCAGCCTGGCCAACGTGGTGAAACCCCAACACTACTGAAAATACAAAAATTAGCCGAGCATGGTGGCGCACACCTGTAATCCCCGTTACTCAGGAGGCTGAGGCAGGAGAATCGCTTGAAGCCGGGAGGTGGAGGTTGCAGTGGGCCGAGATCATACCACTGCACTCTAGCCTGGGCAACATAGCAAGACTCTGTCTCAACAACAACAACAACAACAAAAGAAAGAAAGTAGAGGGAGAGAGTTCCAAGCAGGGGCAGCAGTGTGTGCAAAGACCCTGGGATAGGATGAGCTTGGCTGTTGGAGAAGCTGAAATATATCTATGGGGCTGCAACTCTGTGGGGTCCTATCCTCTCTGCTCACACGTTTACTAACCACCAAGATCTCAAGGCAGGCACTGGCGGAGGCGGGGGTTCTAAAAGGTCCAGAGCTTAATTCCAAATGGTGAGGCGAAGGAGGGCCAGAGTGGTCAATGTCTGAGCCAGGACCAGTGATCTGGTCTGAACACAGGACGTGTCACCTCTGTCGATGCCAGGCACTGCGTCCTTCAGCCACGGCTGGTGTGTGGGGTCTCGCGGGGGGTGCTCACCTCATGTTGAAGGGGGCCATCAGCCGCACCACGTACTGCCGGTCCTTGGGGAGCTTGAGTTTGGGGATCTTTGACGGGTCAAAGTCCGGCGGGTAGTATTTCTGTGGGGGAGGAAGGAAACATTGGGGGAGTTATTTTCAGAAGCAGGGGCAGGACATGGCAGAGGGAAGGGGCTCTGGGGAGCTGTGTCGGGGGTCCCCAAGCCCACCCTAGGTTCTGCGATAGGCAGAGAGGACTGGTAGGACTCAGTACAGTCGGAGGGAGGCCAGGCACAAGCTTCCTGACTCTCTCTCAGTGGAGACATACAGGATGCATTTGATTCTCCTAAATACCAGTCACGACAATACACGTGAAATGTTATCTACACGGGAAGCTCTAAAAAGCCAGTTTTTTTTTTTTGTTTTTGCTTTGAGACGGAGTTTTGCTCTTGTTGCCCAGGCTGGAGTGTAGTGCCGTGATATTAGCTCACTGCAAAACTCCGCCTCCCGGGTTCAAGCGATTCTCCTGCCTCAGCCTCAGCCTCCCCAGTAGCTGGGATTACAGCCACCCACCACCACACCCAGCTAATTTTTGTATTTTTAGTAGAGATGGTGTTTCACCATGTTGGCCAGTCTGGTCTTGAACTCCTGACCTCAGGTGATCCACCTTCCTTGGCCTCCCAAAGTGCTGGTATTACATGTGTGAGGCCCCACACCCTGCCCTTTGTAGAGGTTAAGCTTTGCTTAGTGCTTCTGTTGTTCCGGCAGGAGACTGAGTTCCCCAAGGTGTCCCAACTCCCCAGAAACTCTGTGGAGGGTAAACCAGGACTCTGTTAGCTCAGCCTCCCAATTACTATACTACATTGTTTCCTACACAGTCATGTCCCTGGATCTGAATCCTGAGTAGCTGAAACCTGCGGGGCTCAGTTTACTCCTCTGTGAAATGGGCACATTGTCTTCTGTCTCCAAGAGTCTTTACACGCGTTCCTTGAGGCAAGGGGGATAAACTGCTCTTTGCAGTGTCCGGTACGCAGCAGGTGCTTCAAACACAAAGTGCTTTATTTTCCAGTGGTGCAGTGGAGTTATCTGTCATAATCCATACTCACACTCCCTTTGTATCCCAGGGCTCCTGTTTCCCAGGACTTCCTACAGCAAGCCTGGGACCGCTCTCCTAGAAAGACCTGCGTGCGGCCGGGCACGGTGGCTCACGCCTGTAATCCCAGCACTTTGGGAGGCTGAGGTGGGCGGATTGCCTGAGCTCAGGAGTTCGAAACCACTCTGGGCAACATGGTGAAACCTCATCTCTACTAAAATACAAAACAAAAATTAGCCGGGTGTGGTGGCGGGCACCTGTAATCCCAGCTACTCAGGAGGCTGAGGCAGGAGAATCGCTTGGACCCAGGAAGCAGAAGCTGCAGTGAGCCAAGAACGTGCCACTGCACTCCAGCCCGGGCAGCAAGAGCAAAACTCAATCTCAAAAAACAAAAAAACAGAACTGTGCCAACAGTATGGTTTATACTGAACCTCTGCTTTTCTTCTAGGAGTCTGGAATCTTGGCCACTGTCAGGCAGAGGGTATCTGCATGACCAGCGACCCCAACAAAAACACACACACACACACACACACACCCCCCTCTCCAAAGAACACGATTGGCTACAGGCCCCAAGAGGGGCAGGGCTTCTTACGGCCACGCCCCTCAAAAGGCTGGCACAAGACCGCCAGTATTTTAAGGAAGCCCCGCCCCCAGATAACGTGATTGGATCATTCCCTCCGGGAAAAACCCTATCTGGTGAAGTGATTGGGTAAAAGCCCAAGCCACGCCCCACAGGTGATGGCTACACCCCTGCCCGGAAGGGAAGACTTAGCGAAGGCCCACCCCCCACGGAAGGCGATGGGGAGGAGTCTGGGGAAGAGTCTGGGAAGCCCCATCCCATGGAGGGCCGTTGGGAAAGAAGGGTTCCAAAGAAGAGATCCCAGGAAGCTCCTCCCTCTCCCGGAGTTCCGGGATGTCCCGCTCCGATTGGAAAGCCCCAGTCGCTCAACACTTACGTTTAATACTTTTCGCTCCGACATCTTTGCCTCTTAATCACCTCGCAAGCACCTGAGAAATGCTAAGCCTGAGTACCAAGCTTGTCCTACGGAAGCCTCACTTCCGTAAACGTCACTTCCTTCATTCTCTTATTGGCTGCAGCATACATAGCTGACTTCTTTCATTGGTTCCCATCCCCGTCTATCAAGCTGGAAGTCCCGGCGTCTTCCCTCCGGAGTTGCAACCTGAGTAACGCGAAATAAGGGTTCCGGGATCCATACGGAATTGGAGAGTTTTGTGGAGTGCGCTGCGCCCCCTAGAAGCGGGCAGCGGCTCATTAAAATTTTGTAACGTGACCTGGCTGCGCGTCGCGACAGCCCTTGTTCTTCATTCTTTTATTCAGCAAATATGTATTATGCGCCTGCCTTGTATTCTGGGCTCTGGGAATCCACACATCGTTCCTGTGCCCGCAGCTTTCACATGGGGTTGGGGCCACATATAGGATGACTTAAGAGGACCCTGGACGCCTCTTGAGTCACAGACATTGACTTAAAGATCAGGCTCCAAACCCACTTCCTAAACATACGCAGTGTCTCCCAAATGTCCCTCCATTGCCCACCTGTGCCTTCCCTTTAAAGAGGACTTCCCATCCCATTCCTTCCCCAGCCTCCTCCTCACCTTTCATGGACGTTTCCTCTATGTCAGATTGTTCCAGGAAAGGGGTCCGGATCCAGACCCCAAGAGAGGGATCTTGGATCTCGTGCAAGAAAGAATTCAGGGCGAGTCCACAGTGCAAAGCAAAAGCAAGTTTATTTAGAATGTAGATGAATAAAAGAATGGCTTCTCCATGGACAGAGCATCCCTGACGGCTGCTGGTTGCCCATGTTTATGGTGATTTCTTGATGATATGCTAAAACAAGGGGTGGATGATTCATACCTCCCCTTTTTAGACCATATAGGGTAACTTCTTGACGTTGCTGTGGCAATCGTTTATTTATTTATTTATCTTTTGAGAAAAAGTCTTGCTCTGTTGCCCAGGCTAGCGGGCAGTGGTGCGATCTTGGCTCACTGCAACCTCCGCCTCCAGGATTCAAGTGATTCTCCTGCCTCAGCCTCCCAAGTAGCTGGGACTACAGACGCCCACCACCTCACCCGGCTAGTTTTTTTTTTTGTATTTTTTAGTAGAGAGGGGGTTTAACTGGGTTAGCCAGGATGGTCTGCATCTCCTGACCTCGTGATCCGTGCGTCTCAGCCTCCCAAAGTGCTGGCATTACAGGCTTGAGCCACCGCGCCCGGCAGCAGGGTCTTTATGACCTGTATCTTGTGCCAAACTTCTGTTTTATCCTGTGACTCAATATGCCTTAATCGTCTGGGAATGCAGCCCAGTAGGTCTCAGCCTTATTTTACCCAGCCCCTACTCAAAATGGAGTCACTGCTTCGAATGCCTCTAACAAGATGACTTGCTCACTAAATGCGGACCCATGAGAAAACAAGACCTAAGACTCCAGCCAGGCAAGGTGGCTCACCTCTGGAATCCCAGCACTTTGGGAAGCTGAAGTGGGAGGAGTGATTGAGCCCCGGAGGTCAAGACCAGCCTCGGTAACATAGCAAGACCCCGTCTCTACTTTAAAAAAGGAAAGACACAAGATTCCCGCCCTCACAGGGATCACTGTCTGATGGGACAGACAGACAGACAATAGATTAAAAAGGGTCATTTCAGGGCATGAGGAATGATCAGAATGTTAGGGAAACAGGAGCATAGGAGAGCCGGGTGACACCATTTTAAATCAACTCCATTTTTTTCTTTTTTTTTTGAGACAGAGTCTGCTTCTGTCACCCAGGCTGTAGTGGAGTGGCGTGATCTCTGCTCACGGCAATCTTCGCCTCCCAGGTTCAAGTGATTCTCCTGCCTCAGCCTCCCATGTAGCTGGTATTACAGGCACTCACCACCACACCTGGCTAATTTTTGTATTTTTAGTAGAGATGAGGTTTCGCCATTTTGGCCAGGCAGGTCTCGGACTCCTGACCTCAGGTGATCTGCCCACCTCTGCCTCCCAAAGGGCTGGGATTACAGGCATGAGCCGCCACACCCGGCCACAAATCAATTCCATCTTAAAAGTAACAAGGCACATTTGCTGCCAGTCACGACCCAGGGTCATAAGATGTTTACAATTGAGAAAACATCTTACAAATGCCTGGGAGGATGCACTCCTACAACAATGGAAGGTCCAGAGGTCTTGATATCGTGCAGCAATATATGCTTTTACGATCGTTATAGTCACCGGGCGCGGTGGCTCACGCCTGTAATCCCAGCACTTTGGGAGGCCAAGATGGTCGGATCACCTGAGGTCAGGAATTTGAGACTAGCCTGGCCAACATGGCAAAAACCCAACTCTACTAAAAGTACAAAAATTAGCCAGGCGTGGGGCAGGCGCCTGTAATCCCAGCTACTCCGGAGGCTGAGGCAGGAGAATTGCTTGAACCCGGGAGGCGGAGGTTGCAGTGAGCCAACATCACACCACTGCACTCCACTGTGGGCAACAAGAGTGAGACTCTGTTTCAAAAAAAGAAGAAAGGGCCAGGTGCGGTAGCTCACACCTGTAATCCCAGCACTTTGGGAGGCCAAGGAGGGTGGATTGCCTGAGCTCAGGAGATCGAGACCATCCTGGCTAACATGGTGAAACCCCATCTCTACTAAAAATACAAAAAATTAGCCGGGC